AGGGGAAAAGTCCACCACGGTAGCTTGCTATCGGGACCTTCAAGTGTCGCCTAGGTGTTGCACTATTGCCTTGGCCTGGCACACCCCACCAATTCTAGTTCTAAAAACCTTATATTTCATACCAGTACACAATTTGTCCCTTCTAATATTGGGCAGTTTGATCCATAAAATCTCATATCTATAGCTATAACTCATAAAATCTTGCAACCAATGTTAAATGGTGACCTTATATATTGTCTTACCAAAGTCAATTATAGTATGACCAAATATATAATAATTCGATTTCCATGTTGTAATCTCTACCGACATTAAAAAAAAAAAAATAGCGGCTCAAATGTGCTATTTTGTCATCTAATATCAGACGTGGTGAAGACCCAAGTTTTCACATTTGCACAATTATCTTCATGGCACTCAACTAATGCACCAGACGGGAATCAAACCCGGGTCTGTACCGTGGCAGGGTACTATTTATCACTAGACCACTGGTGCTTTGATATTATAATACTTTCTTTGTTTCAATTTATATGCCACCATTTTAAATTTACGTGCATTAAGAAAGTAAGCAAGTTTACTATTCTTTCCTTATTCACCCCATATTAGTTTCTATATTGGTCAAATGAATATTTTCAAGACTAATAACTCATAAGGGTAAAATAGAAAGATTATTTTAATTATTTATGTATTGATTTTATGAATGGCAAGTATTACGAGTCAATTATTTATAGTAAGGATGACATATAAAAATGAATAGAGGGCGTATATTTCATCTTCTTTACTTAGCAGCAAGGTACCACCCCTAAAATATTTTATATCAGTAAATTGAAAATGTAAGATCAAGTGTAGTATTTGCTCTTATAAGTATAATAACTAGATATCGGAGCCCGTGCTAGTACGGGCCCAATATGTATTTTCAATTTATGTGACAAAGACAAAATTAAAGAGTTAATCAAACTTTAATATTGATTTAAAATAGTTTAAATTTTTAATTATTGTTAACTATGGTAAAAAAAATATTTATGTCTTTTAACATTCTAAATTGCTAATTATTGTTGTATGATTTGTAATATCTCTTACGCAATTTTGAAATAATAAAGGTTATTTCTTCTTTCTCAATTTATGTGGTACTAATAAAATTTAGAGATTCAATCAAATTTTTTTTGTCTTTAAAATATTCTATTGTTAATTACTATAAATTATTGTACTTTCTAAGTAATTTTCAAATAATATATATTATTTTATTTGTCCAATTTATGTGTCACCGATAAAATTTGAAGAGTTAATTAGATCTTTTACATATTTTTATATCTTTTGAATATTTAAGTAAATAATTATTGTGATTTATAATATTTTATACAATTATTTTTAAAAAAAATAAACAACAAACAAAACGAATTCATCATAGGAAAATTACTAAAGCATCCTTGAATACATCAATAATGGGTCCCACTTTTTGTTTAAAAAAATATGCATATTGGGAGGATATTTTTGTCCAAAGTTGAAAATAGAATAAGTATAAAGCATTAAAGTCTTTTAAAATTTTAAATTGTTAATTCTTATGGTATGATTTGTAATACTTTTATGTCATTTTCAAATAATAGAGGTCATTTCTTATTTCTCAATTTATGTAGTACTGAAAAAACTTTGAGATTCAATCAATTTTTTTTGTCTTTGAAATATTTCTAGTTGTTAATTACTATAATTTATAGTACTTTCTAAGAAATTTTTAAATAATATATATTATTTCATTTGTCCCAATTTATGTGTCACCGGTAAAATTTAAGAGTCAATCAGATCTTTTATATATTTTTATATCTTTTAAATGTTTAAGTAATTAATTATCGTGATTCATAATATTTAATACAATTATTTAGTATAGTAAAAGAAATTTAAAAGAAACAAACAAAACGAATTCATCATAGGAAATTACCAAAGCATCCTTCAATACATCTTGTCACGCCCCGAGCTACCCCCGAGACGCGGACACGGGACCTAGGACCACAAGTGATCCCAAGCTAACCCTGCTGGCATGATCATGAGCATACTAAAGAAAATAAACTGATGCGGAAGCTAATTCATAAATAAATCTGAAAAGATGGGGAATACCCATATACTATAGCTGAATATATCAAATCTGAGAGTTTAATACAAAAGAGATATCAAACTCAAAATACTAGGCTGAATCTAACTATGTCTGAAATAAGCCTCTAAACTGACTAGAAATGTTGGGACATGCCCCAACTAGATCTAGCAAAACTGAAACTAAAGACTAAAAATACTGAAAAGAAACTCATGACTATTGTCCTCGGAGAATAAGGACTCACCACTGATTCTGCTGAACTGGAGATCGGGAACCGACTTAAGCGTGATCTGGATGCTGAGAACCTGAACCTACATCACGAGAAGATGTAGCGCACGTATGCGTCAGTACTTGAAAGGTACTGAGCATGCAGGATGGGGTAAAGCTGAAATAACATATAACTGAACAAAGCATACTGAGCAATGATATAATCTGAACATGATATAGATACTGAAATACTGAATACTGAGCTAACTGAATGCAATGACCAAATTTATAACAAGCTGAGACTGAATACTGACTGTACTGAAATATGGTCAATGCAATAGAGTCTGACTGAACTGTGGGAGCTACTAATAACCGACATAAAACCACATGAGCTAAATGTGGAGTCTGATGTATACGCCCCATCGAGAGGACCCAATATACCCTGCCAGAGGTATAGAGGCATGCTGGCGTGATCACTAAACTGATGTTGCCCACGGAGGGGACTTACACCTACGTGGCTCGTAGTTCTGGGACTATATGGGTACGCTGAAACCCTAGTCCAACTCGGTATTATGCTACTCCCAATGAATTAAGTAGTTAACTGGTTATGACTGAGTTTCTGTAAATACTGGATAGCTCGAAACTGAACATGCAAACAGAGAATGCAACAATTAATCTGATAATGATGCATTCATAAACTGAGGCATGTAAAACTGAATACTGAAATATCTGACCTAGCATGTGTAATTCAAGAACTAAAGAAATACATAGCTAGGGTTCTGAAATTCATGCGATAAACTGAGCAATAACATGATAATCTGATTTGGAACATTTAATTAACTAATTCATAATGATCTGCTGTAATTCTAGAAACCCTAGGTCTGTTCATAATCATGGAATCAAGAATCTGACTGAATTCTAAGGACCTAATGGGCGAAAGGAACCCACTAGTGAAATCCCACATACCTGGTGACGAATTCCACGGAGAAATCTTTCGATTTCGGGGCTGGAATTGATGGAACCTTGCTGCGTTCTTGAACTAGGGTTCTTGGCCTTTTTCTCCCTTCTTGCTTCTAATTTTCTAAGTTTTGATTAATGAATTTGACTTAGGTAAGTTCTAGTTATGTTTCTAGGTTTAAACTGATTAAAACCTCATGATTTAGGGTCTAAACGACGTATCTTAGGGGTTAAACGAAATAAGAAAAGACCAAAAGACCCCTGAATTAACTGCTGTCGGAGTGACCGACGGTTTGGACCTACGGGCCGTAGGTCAATCTACGGTCCGTAGATTGGGTCCGTAGTTCGAGTCTGCCCGACAGGTCTACACTAAAATGGGCATAACTTTTTACTCGGAGGTCGGAATTTAGCAAACTCGGTGGCGTTGGAAAGGTAATTCAATTATCTATCTAACCATAGGTTATGGGACACATAATTCATTTTGTGCTAAATGTTATGACCATCTGAAGTTGACCTATCAGAATTTTCAGCTAACTGGCTGCTAACCTTCGATCTACGGTCAGACCTACGGACCGTGGATCGATTGACGGTCCGTGCTGGTCGACCGTAGTTCGTGTCAGAGGCTGGGTAAAGGAGGTCTTGATCCACGGACCGTGGTCTGATCTACGGACCGTGGGTCTGTCCGTGGGTCGAGACTTAGCCAATTTTTTTCTGAGCTGGCTGGGAGGGGTTGCAGTGGTGAACCACGGACCACCAGCACGGGCCGTGGTCTGACCTACGGTCCGTGGATGGTGACCGTAAGTTGCACCTGCAACTTCTCAAAATCTGCATTTTTGTCTATTTCGAATACGGGGTGTTACAAATAATGGGTCCGACTTTTTGTTTTTAAGAAATTGCACATTCGAAGGATCTTTTTGTCCAAAGTGAAAATATTGTGTAAAAAATGTGTATTTATTGTGATTTTGAATGTTTTGTGGGGTAATAGGACGCACGCAAAGTTAAGGTGTCTTTTTGTAAATCTGGGACAACTTCAAGTATCACTTAATGTTTTTCTCAAAATCTAATTTACTTTGGAAAACTATGTGTCAGATCAAAATCAGATTAACAAATTCAAAAGGAATGAGTAATAAATAGCTCATACAATGACATATTTATTATTTAACTAAATAATAAATATGTAACTAAAAATCTTATTAGCTTTTGGTTGAAAGCTAACAAGATAGTTACAATGATAGTTGCATTGTGACTTATTATATATAAAAATATCTTATATTAAACTTTAGTTAAACTTTCCAAAAAAAAATATTTATAGTAACTCGACACGGTATAGTCACTATTAAAAAACTATTATTTTCTCCACTAAAAAATATTCAGCTGCAGATACTTTGATTAAATCGATAATAAGAGAGAAAATTAGGAAACTTTTCATTATTTTAGTGAGATTTTATTGTCCATCACCCTGTATTTTTTCATTAACCTGATTCAGTGAAAAATGAAAAGAAAAATCATATTCTATTACATTAATTTTTCACTGATTCATGTAAAAAAAAAATATTTGTTTCTAGTAGCACCCGACCCCACACGGATCAAATTTAGCCATGAAAAACCCAAACCAATTGAACATGGTTTCCCAAACCCAAACCTAAACAAATCGGGTTGTATTTTTGACCCGATCTGATCCGACCCGACCCGACAACTGAGTATCTATAAAAAGGCCCCTTCTAGTTCTAGTTTACTCTCTACTCATAAACTTCTCAAATTAAATCTCGTTTCTCCCTTCTCTCTCTAAAACTATCTCTCTCTCTCTCTATAAATATGGGAAACTCCCTACGTTTGTTTGCAACTTTCTTCCTTGTAGCTATGCTGCTTTTGGCCACTGGTTTGTCTTTCTTTTTTTATCAACTTAATTGTAAATTTTTTTTAGGAATAAAAGTTCAAATATATCATCGAATTTTGATAAAAGATAGTCTATATTTAAAAAAAAAAAAAAAAAAAAAACTCATTTATGCATGTCGTTATTTGTTAACTTAAATGAGCAAAATTTTGAACAGGTGATATATATGAGCTTTTTTTGTTAAAGTGTGATGACATATTTGAAATTTTTTTCTTTTCAAAAAATTACTTAATTAATGACGTGACTAATCATAATTGATCACGTGTATAAAATGATTTTTGCAAGATCGAAATTATTTTCAGTTAACAAATAGTGTCAATATGGATGAGTCCGTTCTCAAATGGAAATGCACAGATGAGTCAAAATTTTAATGAGCGTATAGATGAGCCTTTTCTTAAAGTTTGATGGCATATTTGAGCATTTTTCCTTTAATTAATGACGTGATTGAATTATAATTAACCATGCATTAAAAATAATTTTGCAAAATCAAAATTATCTTTCATAAATAAATAATGACATGTATAAACTCTTTCTCAAACGAAAATAACATAACAGGAATGAGCTAAATATTTAAGGAATGATATAAATGGAGTTTTTCTCAAAATTCTATTTGAATTTTTTTTTCCATATCAAAAACCATATGTGTAACTTGAAGTCTATCTTATCTTAAAAATAAAAATGACATAATAATATAAAAATAATATTTCGAACTTTTATTATACAGGACCAACAACAAGTGTAGAAGCAAGGACTTGTGAGTCGAAGAGCCACCATTTCAAGGGGAAATGTCTTAGCGATACCAATTGCGGTTCCGTTTGCCATACCGAAGGGTTTACGGGTGGCAACTGTCGTGGCTTACGCCAACGTTGCTTCTGCACCCGAAACTGTTAATAGAAGAAAATGATCTTTTCAGAACTATCGCTTTAAAAGTGTATGCTCTATCAATAAAACGCGTACTCTCATATATATGGTTGTACGTTATGTTGTTTTATTTTCTTTGTTAAATATTTTGTATTTGATATGTATTGGCTTGATAAATTCAGACTCGCATTACAATAATAATAATAATATGCTTTTTTTTTAATGTTGTTCGTCTGGTCAATGATTAATTTGGCAAAAGTTAAGGTTATATTGTTTATATTTTTGTATAACTATTTTTTCATATTAATTTTTTGTATTATTACTCATTTTTTTAGTGGCCTTTTTTTATATTTAGTTTACGTAGTTTTACGCAACTTTGGTTTACTTTTTTTATATTCGATTTATGTAGTATTATGCATTATTTTGGTGATTACTTTTTATATTTTATTATAAAACAAGATATACGTAAATGTTAAGCTATTTTTATTTCTACTTTTACCATAATAATTTTAAAAATAAATGAGAAATTGAAGGAAAAAACAATTTTAATTTATCCAATACACTTTTTAGTAAAAAGGGGATGCATGGATTATTAATGTTCATGCATTCTATCCTCTTGCCAAACGTTGATGGTATCTAAACACATGTAATCAAGATGGACACGTGTTAATCAATGGGAAGAGCCTCAAGCTATGCAAAATATATATATATATATATATATATATATATATATATATATATATTTATTTAGGTTTTCAAAAGTCTCAATCGATCTCTTTTTGAGTCTATAAATAATCATATAAATTTGTTTAAAATTAAATAAATAGACATACAAGTGTTATATAATATAAAATATATAGGATGTCAGATAGGAAATAAATAATTGCGTAGAATAATAAGTATGACACATGTGTCTATTTGTTCAAGTTAAATGACTTTTTTATATATAAGCTAGTCTCCTATCTTCATTTTTCTCCTTTTAAGTATTACTTATATTACTTTATTTTGTGTTTCTTTTGTCATATTTTGATTTGACATAAAATTTAAAAAAAAAACAAAGCTTTTGAATCTTGCGTTTTTAGAGTAAAAATATATTAAATATATCAAATGTCCTTGAATTTTATGACTTTAAACATGTTATGTAAAATTTAAATTAAAAAATTATAACAAAACATATTATTTTCCAAACGAATAAATAAATTATTGAGAATTTATTAAAAATATCATCTCTACTTACATAAAATCTAAACAAAAAAAAAATTGGAATTTTAGATTAGTCCAATACTCCAATGTACGCCACGTAATCATTGAAAATGTGAGTGGCAATTTTTGTAGGTTTGTGTAAACCGAATGCCTTCCTTGTAAGAAGAGGTTGCACGAAACTCTTTAAGGGTACTGCCAATAAATCTTCTTGAATTTAGTGATTGCTTTTATAAAACGATAACTCGGTGCATAAAGTATCTCTCGCTCACATATAAAAGTGGTAATAGAGTGGAGCGGGTCTAAGACTATACGGGTTGAGACTTGAGAAGGTCTTACGATTGTGGTGGACGGTAAATTTTTTAAAACTAATATAGATTACAGATCTATACAGTTTTATGCGAGTTTAAATTTAATTTTAATTTTTTCAGCTGTCATAAGAGAGTGATAGTGCAACCTTCAAGAGTAAGAATATACAAAGCTCATGATAAATTCTTTATTTTTTATTCAAACAAATATTAATGGAAAGTTTCTTTAAATTCTAATTCAAGATAATAAATTAAAATGATTCAATCAAAATTAATAAAGTTTCTAACATGCTTCCAATTGACCTGTGAAAAAATAATATTTTAAGTCATTATCTATTAAATTAAATATTAATTTAATAAAAAAAATTATTTTTGATATTAAACGTAATTAAAAAAATAAAAATTGAAAAAATTATCCGGAGCAAGTATATGCTGATGGAGTGGGTTGAAAAAGAAAAAACTTATATCCATAAGAAGTGATTTCACTTTTTTATTGGATCCGTAGCAAAATTATGTATATATATATACATATAAACATTTTATCACGCATCCTAAAATATTGGGATTATTTGATTGGAAATAAATTATTCTAAAATTGTTTAATTTCTGGATAAGTTATTTTGGTATAGATTATTCCACTATGTATATGGGATTACTCATTTCATTACTATGACAAAAATGGTGGGATAAATAATCTAAGAGCTACCAATACCTCCAACCAAATATGAAACAAAATAATTCTACATTTTATCCTGAAATTATTATACCTCAAATCAAATGACTCCTAATGTTAAGCCAGTTCCGGTCCTTCCATCTGCCTCTATCTCAATAGCTTTCAAAATCGAGTGATTTGATTAGCTTATATCGGAGGATGGTCTAAAGCAGGCCCTTGCTATCAGTCCAACCAAGGGCACCCCTTCCTAGTCCACTTAGTTGGTTGAGTAAACAAACCCGGACCACTGGCCGACATAGTGAACTATTTTATGATCTTTTAACAACATTTTTCAACAAAGCAATGTCGATATCACATAATACCGCCTCAACTAACCCACATCCGCCTTTAATTTACCCTCATTATCTTCATATCCTAAACTCGCCTCTATATCTATAAGATTGATCAAATATTTTATCACCCTGAAATATTGGAATCATTTAGTTGGGAACAAATTATCCTAAAATTGTTAATCTTTGGATAAGTTATTCTGGTATAGATTATTTCACCATGTATATAGGATAACTTATTCCATTACAATGACAAAAATGGTGGGACAAATAATCTAAGGGCTACCTAATACCTCCAACCAAGTATAGAATAAGATAATTCTACATTTTATCTTGAAATTATTATACCTCAAACGTTAAGCAATGTCGATGTCACGTAACACCGCCTCAACTAACACACATTCGCCTTCAGTTGTACCCCTATTGTCTTCAAATCCTAAACTCGCTTCAATATTTATAAGATTGACAAATGTCTAACCCAAAACATATTAGCAAATGTCAAAGACTAAAAAATTACTTCAAAAGCAACTCAAAAAAAAAAAAAAATCCTCTTATGTGTTGTTCTGCTGTAAAATATCTCACAAACTAATTTTCTCTTTATCATAACTTTAACATATTACAATGAATGAATGCTTATCAAAATAATAATAGTAGAGCAATCGCCTGTATTATAGGTAAAAATAAATCTTTAATAAGAATTACGATTTTTGTTTGACGTCTAGATGTTGAATCCTCTTGATTTTTTTCATATATTTTACTTCTCTATATTTTGAAACTCCTTAAGCTACATCACTAAGACCACACAAACATATAAATGAAAAAGTAAGGAGGCAAACATGAAGGTGATATAAAATCTCAACCAACTCCTCTCGTTAGAATCAAGTAGCTTCCAAGCCCTCTCTGTAGTTACGGAGTTCTTCTTCTAATCTCCGAAATAGAAGGTCAGTTGACCGAGGAGTTAGTATTCATTCATGTAAAGATGCTCCTTTGAAGCTGGGGTAGGAATTGTCCACCTTATCACCCCGAAGAACAGTGGCTCTGTTGTTTTGCAAATTGCACGCCTACAAAGAGAGAATCCAAAAGTATTGAAGCTCACTCGAAAGAAAGAGCAATCAACTATATACTTAACTCATGCCACAGGAATTGTGTCTTCCTAGACACAGAGAGTGGAAATAAGCTAAAATCTCAACCAAACAAGGCATTGATCCAAAGACACTTGCATGACAAAAAAATATCTCAGGCAACGGATCAAAAAGTAAACACGACCATGGCAAGAAATCAGGATCAACAGATAATATTGACCAGAATACGCAGGGTAACAACAACATATCCTAGAGAGGGTAGAATGTATGCAGACTTTACCACTGCCTCATGGAGGTAGAGAGGTTGTTTCCGAAAGACCCTCGGCTCAAATGCCACAATTCCAGATACCAAGAAGAAAATATAGCATGTCACAAGGAAACAGTGAGAAGTCTACCAAAAGGGAAGAATACGCAGGGTAAGTATCCAGAAAAATCTAAACATGGATACCTAGCTAACTTGCTCGCGTTCGTGCGATCATGAATAACCTCATTAAATTAACAAATGATCATTCTCAACTATTTGAAAAGGTAAATTCTTGTAAAAACTAAAGATACTAAGAACATTAACATAAATCAGATGATTTGGCTAATGAAATAATCAATCTTACTTCTTCTTTTTTGTGTAGACACGAAAAAGTACAAAATATCCAATTACAATGGCATAGATTACACTTGTTATTAAAGCACCTCATACGTACAAAAACCAACAATAAGTTTAAATGACCAACAGGACATGCATAGCAGACAAAAATAAGTTGAAGCAAGACAAAATGGAACGACACTTTTCATAAGAATTCACATAAGCAATAGGTTAAATATCGGAGAAATGGTCCCAGAAGTACCTTGTATGTGTATACTCATTACAAAGAGTTCATAAGGCGAGATAAAATATCATTGTATTTGTATATCTGAAGTAGAAGCTAGTCTGGGAAAACAGTGACATCTTTGCGTTAACATAGTAATATTCTGAGTACAATTGTAAAATGGCATGGCTGAGAAAAATGAAATAAACCGCCATTACAAGATTTAGATACAAAAGTTACCCATTTGAGGCCAAATTCTCATCATCCTTCAATATTGATTCCTTAGTGTTCCGACAAAATAAAAGAAACAACATTTCTCGAATAAATCTGCAACAACAACAGGAGAAAGTTTGTCTACAAAATTTCTCCGATAAGACAATTTTAACAGCCATGAAATAGAAACAATAAATGGTCACAACAAATTGAACACACAAAACTAAAAGGTTTGTATCAGTGTTAACTACTACTAACAATAACAGAGCAAAAGACTGATACCTAAATGAATACTGAAGAACATATTAAGAATTCATACGGTTAAATAATGTACTCCTAGTATGAATACCACCAGAGATGGTTTATTTTCATAGGAGTACAGAAATACATCAACTATGAAAAAGAGAGTATTGGAAGGAAAAAAGTGCTTAGCCAGTGGAACTTGAAAGTATATTAACACAGCAAAAGAAAAAAGGCCTCGCTTTTCTTCGCATGGTGCAGACTACTGTTATAAGATATGAATTTGAAAAAAAATATCCAACCAAAGCATACAATTCAAAAACCAACATGATAGTAATGCAAGACCAAAAGCATACAATTCAAGAACCAACATGATAGTAACGTAAGAAAGTCAGATGGAAAGACCAAACACTTAGTTACCTTATTTCATTTTGAGCTTAAACAGTTACTGTGTGAGACTTTAAATCGAAAAGGATGAAATTGAATGAACCAAAGAATTCAGTGGGCGACAAATTAACAAAAAAATGCAATTTTGATTCTACAATTAACATAAAATCAAGCAGCAAATCGAGAAATAGAACATTAAGAGAATGTTATCAACCAAACATGAAAGAAAACTAGAGAATCTCAAAAGAGAAAGAGGAAATGTACCTTGGTGGCGAGGAGTATATTGTGGGTGAATCTGTGGAGAAGAAGTATCCTTGTTAAGGAGAGTTTTTCCCTAAAATAAATTCAATGTTACAGCCAAGTTTCATTCTAGTTACTCTCTACTTCTTTCTACCATACTATATATTCCTCCATTAAAATAAGACGGGTGGCAATAAAAGTAATTTCTACCATACAACTCTTTTCAAGATGAGATAGAGTAACAAGATGTAGAGAGGGTGTCCTTGAAACGAAAGAAGAAGAAGGGGAAAAGTGGAGATGTTGGGCATTAATTAGAGGAAGAGGCGTAACCAGAATAGTAGAAAAGTCGAGAGAAAAAGAAACAGAAAATACAGGAAAAAAGATAAATAGGATTTACAGACAATGAGATGTGCCATTCACTGGCTTAATGTCTTCCATTTATATATAAGTTTCAAGAAAAAGATAACTTATTTGAGTTAAAATGTACTGCTAAAGAAAATCAATGGAGAGAAAGCCAACTATCTCAAGTCATCAGACATGTTATAAAGGCACAACCTGACGAACATAGTGAATACTAAAACCTAAATCCTCAGAATCTAATACAGGAGATATTATCTCTGTCAAGCTATTGAAGAATTGCTAAACAATGGAAACAAGCAATACAGAAATGCTTCACCATGGTGGATACAAGTGCCTTGAGTATGTAACCCACAAGTTTAATAAATAGGAAATCACAATAACGAAGAACAACAAAAGGAAACTACATTTGAAACAACAGAACAAAAGCCAATTGAGGTGTTCAAATTCTCATTCTCTTCTCCACATTACACTAACATTATGCAACTCGCAACGACTTGCACTAATAAATATAAGGAATAAGCTTGTATCTAACTTTACTTGCATACTCCATATATCTCTCACCAAAGTTCTCTACCATCAAACTTTCCTCTAACTTAGCTTTATTCCCATAGTACACTGAACAAACAACAGCAATGAAGAGAGCACTCAAAGGCGCCCTAAGAGCAATACAATAAGTAACAAACAAGAGCATGGTTGAAGCATAAATAGGATGGCGAATAAACCGGTACGGACCAAACTGTACGACAGCAGTAGGCACAACCACCTTCTCTGAGTACTTGGCTAAATACAATGTGGAATGATATTGCATAAACAATGTCATCACAATCAAACCCCAAATACCCAAATTGCTCCATCCACCAGGGATAAGATGCAACTCTGGGCCTTCAAACGCTGCAAGCCAATGACCAACCATAACTCCAACACAAAACAACAGCTTCTGCCAATCGGGTAGGCTGATATCCCATCTGGGGTCATGCTCTCTTGGATTGTAATCACCATACAAACGTTTTCGAATACTCACATTCAAGAAAAAGAAATAATGGTACACCAAAAAGAACACAACAGGCCAGCCTTCAAGAAAACCATTGAAATGTGCTGGTGGGACAAGTGTAAGCCAAGTGAAAGCTGAAGTAACAACTGCAAATTGCTCAAATACATTTGCATCCCCACGTAAATGCTTGTTTAAGCAATAAAGACTGTAACTTGCAAGACTTATGGCCACCAACCATGGCCAATATAACCATGTCATACTAAAATACATCCAAAAGAATGGATTCACAAGTACATTCATTGTCCATTTGGACGCAGCAATAGCAACAGAAAACAACAAACCCCACTTTAACACTTTAAACGGAGTCAATTGGGAAAAACCCATCTTCACTGACTCCAAAGATAACCCCTTTATGCTTTCAAATACCCTTTTTGGACCATCTGTTTCTGTTGCATTTGAATATGAACCCGAACACTGAACTGGCAGTAACAACGACCGAAACCCACCAATATATGGCCGTACAGGAGAAGAATTGACATCACGGATGGAAATTGATAAGGAACTACGCAAGTGGGATTTGGGTATTCCAAGATTTAACTTGCTCACCAACTGTTTGTGGAAAGGTCTGTAAGAAAAAGTGTGTTGTTTTGATACATTCCCGCCGAACGAGGAAGGTAGCTTTGAACAGACCAGAATTGGCGATGCTTCCATTGATATTAGTAGCAGAAATTTTCGATTGAAGAAAACTGGATCAGCTCATTAGAGCGTTTAGTAAGCTTCTTCTCCTACCTGAAAATTGGTCAGTTTTATTACCTTCAAGTTCTTTATCGTACCGGATAGTTCACGCTTGGTCTTTTTTTATCATCGGTATTCTTGTAATTTTTTCCCGGCGAAGCGACGGCGCCGGCGTCGAGCAAAATGTATGTGTTTTGTTTCTGGGCGTGAAGGGATAATAACAGATTTGCCCTCTAATTGGGCCTGCTCATATTCAAATGATGGCCCAATGTAAAGAACAACTTGCACAAATAGCCGGTTGAAGCACCATTGTTTAAATAATAACCAAATTTTAAGTATTTAATACTTAGCTGCTTTAGAATCACTTTCAAACTTAAAGGAACTGAAGTTGAAAATCTCGATTTGAAATTTGAAACTTAAAAGTAGGGGTTTGTCAAGCCTAACTTCAGACTCACATGTCTGAAGTCAATAATGTCGCATTGGGAATTCAAATCGAAAATAAAGAATAAAATTTGAGTTAAACTTTATTTCTAATACTCTTTGAAATAGAGTTTATAGTTTGTCCTCTGTTTTTTTCATATTTATCAAACACGTACAAATAACTATGCAATAGAAGTACAAAGCGAGAGTAAAAATAAAACATCAAAAAGTAATAAGGTTGATACATGATAACGAAAGCTAAAGACAATTTAGTCATTGACAAAAAGTTTTGCAAAGCAACTACAGTAACTTTTTAGATCAATCATATTATTCCATTTTAATTAAAATGACCATTTTGCCGTTGAAATCATAAGTAAGCATGTTAATGTGCTACCTGCTTTACCAACAAGGATTGTGGTAGAGTGGTAAGTATTTCTTCATTCTTAATCAAAATGTCTCAAGTTCAAGCCCCCTTGGGTACAGAGTCGCCTTTGTTAGGGAGCGCTTTACCCCCAATGTGTGGGACTTCTCGGATTTATGGAATAAGTAAGGCAAATTCTAATTTTATAATTTTATTTTAAAAATTCTCGAGACAGGTAATATAACTGTAAAATAGTTCAAGTCAAACGTGTGCATCATACAACAATTTTTTTTACTTGGACTAATAAAATGGTGTTAGCTACACTTTGGAAAGGTTGAGTGTGCATAAAGTTGGATGACATTTGTTTTCTATACACATTTATTATGTACCCATTTTGCAATCAAAATGTATCAAATCTCCAATTGGTAATTTGGTATGGCACATTATAGTTTCCTTCATACCTAACACACCCCATATGTATTTGTGTAAAAATGCATAATGCAGTCTACATAATATGAAAAGCAACAGTTCTACAATGTTGGATTAAGGATAGTATACAGACGAGAAGCTTGTACCCCCTGACGGAGGATAGGTCGACGAGAAGGACAAGAGGGGTGCATATTACATCTCAGGTGAATCTCACGTCAAAATTGGAGAGAAAAGTGAAGATGACACAAGGTTACATGTACACACATTTTTTTCATCTCGATAATCACATAGTCCGAGGAACAAATATGCAAACGTCTGTTGGGCCAAAACGAACAATACATGCAATGGGATTTGGTCGTGACGGAGTTGGCAAAGCCTTAAGAAAAGAAGAAAAAAAAAAGTCGTCCTGCCCTTGTTCTAATTGGCACTTTTCTCTAATTTCAACAGATTGTTAAACCTGTCTTCCTGGCAAGTGCAAAGAAAAATTACAGAACATCAAAACTCAAACTGTGGAACTTCATAGCTCCGTTTACGAAGAGATTTATTCACGAGAACGGAACAACTATAACCGAATTGATTAATCAAGGGCAAAATAAATACAAAATCACCCTTGGGATCTTTGAATTTGACAAGAAATATTAGGGAAGAATGAGCTTTACTACCTAGCATATTGCAGTCATGTTGTACACAGCTCTATTCACATACCTCAGTAGGACTAATTTTAGAACGTCGATGTAGTCTCTAAATGATTTTAACCCCGTGAGGTAATTTCACTCTTAATCTTTTCCACTTGATCTTAGCCAAGGATGGATGCAAGCTGAGCACATGCTCTGGCATGAAATCATGCCTTGTAATTATCCCCACAACAGGTATCCTCTGCAGACAAGAGACAAGAACCATTTATCAGGAAAATAAATGGAAAACATGTTTGGTTCCAAACAAGTAACGATTATACAATCAACATGGTAGATGAAATAGGGAGAGCAAAAGAAAATTTAACTGTGAGGGAACGGTTCATACTTAATCACCATCAGTGGATGATGAGAATGTTGATCGGTTGATGCAACCAGGAAGATATTCAAAATGTAAAAATAAACAAGACAACGGGAACTCAAAAATCACAAGGCTGATTCAGAAGAATTTAACTCTTACAGAGAGGTATTGATCATTGAACCTATTCGGTTGTCTATAAAAAAAAATAATGGACAATTTATTTCACATCAAATACCTAAAAAGAACGAGATTTTGGTGAAAGATTTCATGAATGAATGAATATTAAAAATTAGCGAGGTCATACACAAATGCACTGAAACATGCATGCAGAAAGCTGGGTAATCTATCCTTCAGGTTATGTTAATGTATCTTTTATCAACTGTTAAATTACTTTTAGGGATAAGATACAGCATCTAAGTATATCATTGAAAAAGAATTTGAAACAGAAAAAATGAGGAAACAGTTCTTACCCCAGAAACCTTGGGTATTACCAGAAGGTGCCTTAAACCAACTTCTCGGAAGAGCATCAGAGCCTTCGCCAAGGACATAGTCTCTACAACAGTGAAAGGCGAAGTGTTACAAAAAGGATGCAGATCTATAAACATATCTATCTCTTCATCTGTCAGTTGTATATCTTCCACTCTGTCTCCATGGTCTAAACCTTTCTTTGCAAAATCATCAGCTGAAAACTGCTCAAAAGCGTCAACTCCAGCAGGTACAGGATTTTGAAGAAATGCTTTCTTCTTTAGCAATGTAACCAGATGTGCACGGAGTACCAAACCAAATAGAACTGGTGCTGCGGAATGCGGGGGCTCATCCACCACTGGAAAGCCATTATGCCCGGTGGTTTTGAGAACATGAACTATGTTACCAACTTTCTCAATGCCATTAAAGAACTGGAGTGGACCTGTGACCACATCACTCACTGATAGTTGTCTTAAGTAAGGTTCAGCATGACGTTCCAAGTAAGGGAAACCCTTCGCCCTCATTATGAGGTCATATATATTCCTATTAAATGCATCAGCTACAGTTTTGGAGATAAGAAGAACTAGCATCATTAGAGGTAGCAAGAGGAGGTCATTAGTCAATTCTAGGATAATGACGCATAAGGAAACTGTCATTCTCATAGAACCCCCAAGAAAGGAAGCTGAACCTAAAACAGCAAATAGGCCATGGTTAAGAGTTGAGTGCGAACCAAACATCATCCCAATAAAACGACCATAAGCCGCACCTGTCACAATGACAGGCACAAAGAGACCTGCAGGTGCGACTATCCCATAACTAAAGATGCTCAGGAAAAAACAGGTGATAAAGAAAATCAGCATTGAGAAAGGGTGAAACTCGGCATCAGTGTTCTTGCTGAAAAGGTTCTTGATGGCATCATCATTCGTGTTAAAAAATAAACTGGCAAGATCATTGTAGTGACCTGGAGGACACTGAAACTTCTTATAGTTACCATTCCGTCCAATTGTGGGGCAAGGTTCTGATGTATCTGAAGGGCAAGGGCGGCAAGGTGCCAACCATGGTAATCCAAAAAGAAGACAAGATGTAAAAATGGAGACTGTAAGAGCCAGAACTATTTTGTAAGCAGCTCTTCTCCTAAAAAGAAAATGAAAAAGAAGCCACATAAAAACATTAACTTTATCATGCCGTGAAAAGGAAAGGAATATATGAAAATCTAAAAGCCAAAGTGAGATCATACTCGTTAATTCTGTTATAAATCCGCAGAACCTTATCCTGTAAAAAGTTGTACAAACTTGCCCATATGCCTCCAATAACTGCTAGCAAAAGAACAGGAGGCACATCCCAGATCTGATATGCAACGTTAGCTGACGTGACATCGAACATTATGAGACCTCCTTTACCAAAGAGTCCACATTTCCCACTTAAGCAAACATCAATCAAAGCACGAAGGACAATTGCAACCACAGCCGTAGTAAAAAAGGCTCTCCACAATAGAGCACTTCTCCACCTGCAACACAAAGGAAGTGCGTACAATGTCAAAAAACAGAAAGGAAAACTACAGCATCCTTTTTAATCACACCAAACAAATCCATATTTCAGTATACATCACATCAATCTACTACCGTATGTGCGATATATAAGAGATGAGAGACCTGATAAAGGAAATTTTCAAATTGTTTAATCTCCAAAAGCTGACTTGGCATAGCCATCTATCCCATGGGAAGAAAACCTTACTCACTTAAGTCCACACATAACTACTTATGAATAAATGTTCCTTTGATAGACCATTCCTTTACCATTTAGACACCCATTAAGACTCAACTTTACAGGAAGTTCACGTCCAGCAAAATCAGCTCAGGCAAAACTATCTCCTCTTAAGTATGTTGAACGAAATACGATTCAAGAAAATCAAAAGCGAGTTTGGACCATCCCCATTGCCTAATCGTCTTTCAGAGATCATTGATAGTGTCTCCACTTGGGAGCCGAATATAAAAATATCAGAACTTATGGTCAAAATACATTAATGATTAAACGACAGCATCAATCACTTCAACAATATGCTTTTGGCCTTGGATTTAAGGCAACACTTGCTAACAAATATCTAAAGCCACAGAAGATGTTAAAAAAAAACATGAAACTAAATATCAAAAAAATTGAGAAAGATAAAATTAAATATAAATAAAAGGAGCATATTTCAAGTACCGGAAGAAACTTTCAATTATTTTGAACAATGAAAAAAGCCTCAAAAATTCAATTAATATGGAAAAGAGGGAGTAATAATTAAAGCTTCTCTCTCTCTCATAATCTTCAATCATCAACAGTCAACATATAGGCTATTTTGCAAGACCAAATCCTCTCCCAAGAGCCAACCTAACAATTCAGTAGTCCATGCACCACATTTTTTGTTGGACTACAATAACTGCTTTAGATATTCCATCCTTTAAAGACAAATTATAACTTACAAGAGGAAGTGCAAAGCCACCAATTATAAGGCAATCCAAAAAGTCCCAGTCGGACAGTGAAGTCAATTTCAATATCAACGTTGTGCGTAATGTGCGGGCATACTAGAAGGGATAGGTTTAGGAATGAAGTTACACAAGACAAGGTGGAAGTGGCCTCCTTGGCAGACAAAATAAGGAAAGCGAGGTTGAGGTGGTTCGGGCATGTGAAGAGGAGGTGCACAAAAGAACCAGTAAGATGGTGTGAGAGTTTGGCTATAGCAGGTTTTAGGAGAGGTAGAGGTAGGCCTAGGAAATAATGGGAGGAGGTGATTATAAAGGGTATATCACACCTTCACCTTGTTGAGGACATGACCGTATATTGGAAAGTATGGAGGTCATGGATTAGGGTAGAAATGTAGTAGGTGGCTGAGTGTTATGGTACTTTTACATGGCAGAGGCAGGGGTCTAGTCTCCTCGTCTCATCTTCTCCTTAATAAGTAATCTTATGTATTCACATAGTATCTTATTCTCTATTTTTACTACTACCTGTTGCTTCATTTGCTTTGTTTACCTTGCTATTTTTACAATCGTTATTTCCTTCAATTTTGCTCTGAGTACACTTCCTTTGAGCCAAGGGTCTATCGGAAACAACCTCTCTACCCCACAATAGTAGGGGTAAGGTTTGCGTACATCTTACCCTCCCTAGACCCAACTCATGGGAATACAATTGGTATGTTGTGCCAATTGTCCTGCCGATACTCGATAGAAATATCGACTTTACAAAGGCTAGCGGGTGTTGTTGAGTTGTGCATAGTATCAACCATCTGAGAGAGAATATCTACTATCATCTTACTAACACAGATATAGCGATAAAGGCTATTATCTTCCGAAAACCTGTTTGTTTACCAAGAATCAGCCTAAAGCATGTTCATTTGTTTTAGATATACCAAGATGCCATTTCTTCGAGAGCAAACAACAGACCGCCAACAGGAGCTCGGAAAGCAGCAGCCATCCCAGCAGCTGATCCACATGTTACAAGATCTCGTCGATCTCTATCATTTTTAAAATACTTCAGCCATTTCCAAGTTAATCCATACTTCTGTGACCCGCCTTGACTTATTAGTGCTGCAATGCAAGCACCAGTATGAACCATGGGGCCTGCTTTTCCGATTACCAGAGATCCTGATACTGCAGAAATGCTTCCAACAATCTGTTCATTAAAGTTTCAAGTAAGGCTCTTACTCTAACATGTTGCACTAGGCCTTCGAAAAAGAGAAATAGAGGAAAGACAGACAGAAAATATGATGCAACGACAACATACCGAATATATTCCCACAAGTAGGGTCTAGGAAAGGTAGAGTGTAAACCAAACCTTACCTCTACCTAGGGAAAAAAAGAGACAAAACTCAAAAAATGTTTTATCAACTATTCACAGACGTGAGATAAGATGATCATAAACACTATGGAAGATTCAAATATCCATGCACAAACTGTAGACAAGCCCATGGTTAAATTGAAAAGGAAGTATCTTCAATAGGAAACAAATAGTTAATTGATTGATTTTGCAGATTTAAAAGCTCATAATTCATAACTTCACCACAACCCCAGGTAGAACACCTCCCAAATGTTATGAACAGTTTAAAACAGCACTGTTAGCTGCAGTTTAAGTCTGTTCTGGACTACGAATGGACAAGATTTCTAGACAACTTTTAGAAGTTAGTTGAAACTAAAGTTAGAAGAACCAAATGTTTTGATATGGAACAAATATAAGAGCTTATGTCAGAGGTTGGAGATCAAGCTGCTTCCAAGCATTGTCTAGTGAGCATTTATGAAGCACTAGGATGAGGAGGAAAAAATGTATGTATCACTAGGTTAAGCATGCACAGGATTCTCTTTCAAATAACAAACAGGTCTAGCTTCACTTGATATCTTGGAAATAACAGTAAAGCCTGAGTGTTTCTTAGGGAGCTCAAGATTTTTCACATTTTAAAGGTGCTTTGTGTCCAAACCAGTTGATCTATAATCTGAACCTCGAAACTCGTAAGAACTTCAAGCTTATCCAAAATCATTTAAGAGCGTCCAACAGCAACATATCCAATGTAGTCCCACAAAGTGGGGTCTAGGGAGGATAGAGTGTATCCAGACCTTACCCCTACCTCAGGGAAGTTCCATAAACCAGAATCTGCCTCACCTTATAAAATGAAAATAAAAGTAACCCTCACCCCCCAAAAAAAAGAAATCCTCTATGAGCTCACTTATGTAGTATGAAAGGCAATCCACATATCACATTAATTGATCAACCACGCAATTACATAATCCTTAATTCATGCAATCGTTCCCAAACACATAAATACACCACCAACACTAGAACTGAACATTAGTAAATAACATGTAAAATTGGGATAACGAAAAAAGGCATCTATATGAAAAGGCAATTCAAGGTCACGTTACCTTGACAAACAGTGTTCGCAGAGAAAATATTGCTGGTGCATCTACGCCATTCAAGTAAGCCTTAACTTCAGGTATACCTGAACCAGCAGCCTCTGGTGCGATAAAAGCCGTAATTAGACCGGCAAATAATGTCAGTCCGAAATTGGAAGAAGCAAATACAAGAAAAGCCGTTGTATACCTGTTGCATTATATCAAGAGTCATTCACCTCAAAAACATATTTATACAAGTACATGGAGTACTTTCTATTTATTAATACAAAAGAAATCATAGTATTCCACTCCACAAATTTAGAACACAGAACAGGGTTATTTCCATATTCCACAGTTCAGTTACCCTCAGAAACATATGCATAACATATACATGTATTTATATGACCATAAAATTCCAGTAAATAACCTCAAAAATAACATTTAATATCAGGATTGCACAAACAATTGATTATATCTTTTAACTAAAAGAACTTCAAACAAAAATTAGATGAAATAGCAGCAGATATCAGTTTGTATTATTTAGTTCAAGTAACTTCAACACAACAATCGAAGTCGTAGGAGGGCATTATACATCAAATCTAAAAATGAAAGAGAAGTGTATACCTTCTCGCACGCATCAGATCAGAAGTCACCACAAATTTCATTCCAGCAATGTTCTCAACAGCAAGATTGTTACAGAAACCAACAAGGCCAACAAGCAATCCAATGAAAAAGCACATCATCCATTTCATGGATACGTACTGCAATATTTGAATCTTCTCTCCACGCCTCCAATCTTGCTTGAAATAATCATTCTCCATGATTCTTCAACCAGGCAAACACCATTATTAGGCTTCTTTTATTTGCCAATCTAATCAGAGAAAGGGAAAGAACAAGGAAACATTTTCCAACCAAAAATATACCGAACTCAAAACCAAAATCTCCTTCCAGGAACTTCAAAACTAGAAAGAAAAAGGAATTGTACACACTCTTTATCATGTTTAACTCCAAGCTTCCAAGCATATCTTTCTACCTTTCCGGGTTTTTTTTCACCCAACAATACTTTAATGTAAACACTCTCATATATTTGCTCGAATACAATAATCATCATAAAAGTATCAAAATTCTGATCTAATTTTTCCTACTAGACTTGGACTTACCAAAGAATATGGATGAGTCTTCAGCTAATTCATGGACTTATCAGGTAAATACTGATTTTTTCTCTCTATTTTGTGAAATCTCTTAGTGTCCTTTCCTATCTCCCATATTCTCTTAGTGAAATCTCTTACGAAGCACCAGATGATTACTTAAATCCCGAGATTTTCTAAGCACAAAACTCTCTACCCCTAAAAAATCGATAGACACAGTAGAATAACTATTATCATGAATTATATGCTTCTGTATAGAAACAGTTGAATTCTCTCTCAGAGCATCAAAAAAATTCCATTTCTAAGACCAAATAATGAAGGGCTTCATCTTCATACCGAACTCCGTTACTATTAATTTACTGCAAATTAAACAATACATTACAACGTATACACGAATAATAGGAATAGAGAAAAGGAGAAACGTACTCGTAGTCGAGGCTTTCAATAGGGGAGACACTGGAGCCGACGATAGCGACCTGAGAAGTGTTGTTCGATGTTGATCGAGAGAGGCTGTTAAGCAGTGGATGAGTTAGCGACTCCTCGTCTTCCTCCGTCTCCGGCGCCGGCGCCGATGAACCATTGAGAAGAGCTGGAGAGATTAGTACGGACATTGATAGGGGTGGGGAGTTCAAAAGGAGCTGGTATTTGATGGCAGTTACTACACATTGATGAAGAAGAAGAGGAGGAGTTATAAGGATTGAATATTTGAGTTTCCAAAAAAGATTTAAGATATCTAATTTAAATTTATAATTAAAGAATAAATATATATATATATATATATATATATAAATATAATAAAATAAAATTATTATTTGATGAGAAAAATGAAATATTTTTGTTTGTTAATGATGGTAGGAATGATTTATGGTTGGTGTTAGTGACAAGTAATGGTGGTGGTGATTATTGTGATGGTGGAGGTTGTTGTTGTAGTGACTGGCGTGATGATAGTGATTCTTGGTGATTAAAATGGTGAAGTTAGTTGATGTTAGTAGTTGATTGCGTTAATTGTGACGATTGATGATATGTTGGTGTTAGTTGGCGAAGGTGATAATTATGATGGTTAATATGGATGGTAGTAAGGATATATTGCCCGATAGTGGCTGATAATGGTGGTTATTGGTGATTAAGTTGGTTTGCGTTGATTGTGGTGGACTGGGGGTTGATGATGTGTTGGTGGTAGTTGGCGAAGGTGATGGTTATGCTGGATAGTAGAAAGGATATATTGACTGATAGTAAATGACGGTGGACTTGGCGACGTTAACGGTAATGATAGTGATAGTGAATTTATTTATAATGATAGAAATGGTAAATAGTGATCCATAGTGATAGTGGTTGTGATAGCAAAGGTAATCGGTGGTTGGCGACACTAATAGGTGTTGACAATTGTGGTTGTAATTGTAAACACGGATATGGTTAGTGATGGTGGCAGATGATTGTGGATAGAGTGATGGTCAAAACTATCCATCTAAAAAAAATTTTTAATGACATTATAATTTTCTTCAAAATCTTAATAATTAAAATCTATTTAGATCAAATAAATACTTAAATCTTAAGGTTTAATGACATAAGGTTTTGCACCATTCAAATTTGAATCTTTATTGAGTGCAAATAAATAAGAACTTAATCTTCAATTAACTTAAATATGTGTATTTTGTCCCTTTATATATGTATAATATTTGATTATTTTAAAAATCTATGTTATTTTCGAATATAAAATAAACAATATACATGATACATTTATATTTGAATGATTTCTTATTTGTGCTACATAAAAATAAAAAGAACTCCTACAGAATTTTGTGCTACACATTAGGGAAATTTCTTATTTGCATTTTTGTGATAACAAAGACCAAAATTTCCTAAATGGGGAAGTTTCCTTTTAACAGCTTGTATATAAAATTTTGATTTTGTATTAATTTTACGAATTCACCAGAATTCAGTAGTTTTATAGTTATGTTTTGTATTTCTATTTAATATTATTTGATATGTATACTAAGTGTTTGGATTAATACATAATTGAGTAACATCTAAAGTTAAGTTGGTCATTTCCACTTGTTAATTATCTAATTAAATTAATTGATGAATTTATTAAAATAAAAATGAATTTGAACTAAAGTTTTATTAAACAATAAAGACAAAGGATTAACGACAGATATATGAGACAAGGTTAGTTAATTAATTTTGAAACTAACATTGATTTTGGTACCCCAGTTTATTTCAATTTCTTATGAAAAAAATAGAATAATTAGAACTAAATAAAGTTTCTTGATAACTAAAATCCAGTTCAACTTTTATATATTTTACTTGTTTATATAAAAAAAAAAGGGATAAATATATTTTTTAACTTTGTGATTTAGAGGGCATATACTCCTCTTTAGAAAAAATCATACATATATATCCTCATCATCCAACAAATAGTACATATATATATCGTCATCCAACAAATAATAGTGCATATTTATCCTTTTCATTAACATACTAAATTTTAAAAATAATAATTTTAAAATTATTTTTTTAATTTAAAAAATGTCATGTGGGTTTCAAAAATTATCTCACACATTTTTTTTACCCCTATAGACCCAACCCAACTAAAAAAAATTGATTCCTCTTCTATTCGTATTCTTTTTTTGGTTTCACATCCGGTGTTTGGTACCTTCATTGGAGCCCGATTAAATTTGGATTCCCACCAGAAAGTCCCACATTAGGGGATAAAACACTCCCTAACAAAAGCAACTCCGTACCCAAGAGGACTCAAACTTGAGACATTTTGATCAAGGATGAAGAAGTACTTACCATTCCACCACAACCCTTGTTGGTTTTTCTATTCGTATTCTATCCAAATCATTTTATGACTAGGAAAGGAGTTAGTTTTTTCTCATTTAGGTTAGGTAGGGGTAAAGATAAAAAAAATGTGAGGTAATTTTTTAAAGGTACGTAATATTTTTAAAATTAAAAAATCAGTTTTAGGATTTGGTTCCCTTTTAGTTCAGTAAATATAAATTCGTTAACAAAAAAAGATAAATATGTATCACTTATTAGATGACGAAAATATATATACACTACTTTTTAACAAATACTATATAGTCACTCTAAATTTTATAAATTTTAGGTTAGGTTTTATAAATTTCTTATTCCTTATATCACCATCTATGTTTTCTCAACAACCCCAATGGTCATTTGTAAGATTTTAATTAATACTCATGGTGAAAGAAAGAAGGGCATAACCACTACAAAAATTATATATATTTAGACTAACTACTAAATAGTTTATTATTAAAAGATTATTTTTTAATAATTTCTTTTAGTTTACTATATTTTTATGATAAGAAGTTATGTTTTAATTCTTATCAATGTGATGAGAAAGTTGAGAATCTTTGTTGGAGTACATGTTTTTGAAATGGGCTCCATTATTATAGGAAAAAGCATTTTGAGTGAGTTTATGATAGGTAGGTGATTAGAATATATGAGGACATAATTTTTTCTGAATATCATAAATATCCGTTCCTTCTTATCTCCTCTTCTTTCTATTTATAAGTCACTTATTTCGATATTTTTATTAATATTTGAGAAAGAAGTTGACATACTACAAATTGTCATATTCAACCTTTTCGCTAAATAAGATAACTATTACAAAATTGATCAGTCATTAATTTTTATGTTTGTAGCTGGTGAACGAGCTAATGACAATTATCAATTCATTCAATCACGTTATCCCCACAAACTTGCATGTCTTAGATTAATTTTTCGAGTTTAATGCTAAATTTGAATATTTCACTAATATAGATATCGAATAATTGTGTGAGAATATTGCCTAGTATTTATTATTATTATTATTATTATTATTATTATTATTGCATGAACCGATGTTAGACAATATCTTAAGCAAGTAGCATTCCTAGTCATCATATGAATGATACCTTTTCCAAGTAGAAAAGGCTAATAAACAAATAATTGTGTAAATATCCCAATTATATATTTTATTTTATTTTTGTGTATTAGATGGCCAACTTGATTATCCACTTGTGACTAATGATCCAATAAGGCCATTGGTGAAATTCGTCATTCTCCACTTACAAAATTCATTTTTTTAAAAGAATCTTTTAGAATATTCTAACGATTTCAAACAAAGATAACTAGCGGATCGAGCTTCAAGTTATCAAAAAACAAAATATTTGTTCTTTTAGAATATTTGATTATTTAATCGAGATAAAATAATATATTTTGACATAAAAATCGAGATCAAGTATTTTTAAAAAAAGTATTGTCTTATGTACATGTCTCTTAGCAATTTCGAGTAGCCATGACCCAAAATAATTTATAGGCAACTTGAGCAGTCTCTTAGGAGCCCCTTTTCTAACTTCAAGCTATTTGTCCTATTTTCTTGTTATGTGTTAATTTAAAATATGTTTTTCATTTCTTAATACATTTTAAATATCACAAAAAGCTTTATAGGATCCATGTTTCACATTTTCTTTTGATAGCTTTTATCATAAAATAATACCACTTCTTCAACATAAAACAAAACAAACAATCCCCCTACCCCCCCCCCCCCACCCCCAACCAATAACCTAGCATGAATAACAACATTAACTATGTCCTAATTTTAAATGTAAGTTGGAATCGATAATATTAATTTTTATTGATTGTATTTCTTCGTTGAATTTTAACTCATATCATAGTACTAAAATGACTTATAATTTTAAACACTTTCTTGATAATTTTATCAATTAAAAAAATGGAGATATAACAATGTGTAATGTGTTGGCTATAAGAGTAAACCATTTCAACAAGTACTACACAAAATTATCCACATATGCAAATGTACACTACACATGTGTTTACGACAATAAATAAAGGATTTCTCCATAATTATTTAGTTACAATAATATAATTGTCGCTACACATTATATTTAGCGACAATAATATAATATGAGCATTTATAGCCAACACTATATACAAACGTTAATAAAATCTTTAACGACTCTAAATACAATAATATTAACTCAATTGTCGTTGAATGTATCTATTGCCACCAAATATCTCTTTTCGTTGCTACATATGTTATCATAACCTTCTTAATATTATGAAGTTTTGTCCCAATCTTGACAATTTACCATTTTTGGAAAAGAGATACAACCATAGGTAGGAAATTTCTTGAGGAGATGGAATTTTGGAAAAGGGAAGTGGTTACTCTTTTCTCATTTCATAAAAGTCCAAAATGAATCCAATCTTCATGCAAACCATTCACTTTTTGGTTCAAACACATCACAAAATATCATTAATTGGTGTTTGTCTGTTTTCCTTAATAATTTGTTTATCTTTCATGTCATTTGGGGGATTCCACTTTTGATAAAATTTCTCTAATTCACAAGAAATAAAAATTTCAAATTCATAAACTTTAAATACTAATTTCATGATTTGGTGAGAATAGAGATGCTTTCGATAGGTAAAATTTTATCTCATTAGTAAGCTCACGTGATATGAATTTAGAAGTTGAATTAATAAGTATCGAAGACTAAATGGTTAAACAAAAAAAGAAGTTAAAGATCATCCCTATAACCTTTTTGGTACTTGCGTTTGGGATGAGAGTACTTTTAGGAGGCGTTTGACCATGAAAATTACGAGTATTT